CTCTCATTATCTTCTCCAATCTATTAGCAACCTTCACTGGGATTTTAAACACCGACAGGAAAAAGATAGGTAAATTAGTAAGCGTGGCCTTAATAAGTGTAATTCTCCCACCAAGAGAGAGGTAGTTCTTTTGCCATGAAACCAGTCTTTTTTCAAACCTTTCCACCACCGGGTTCCAAAAGCTCTCTCTCATRGGATTATCACCTAAWGGYAAYCCWAAGTAGTTCAAAGGCCACCCTGAGACTTCACACCCCAGCACTTCAGCACTCTCCTTGATCTCTCCCTCCTCCAAATATGTTAACATAATTATCTTCTTTCTTTTCTATATTCTCTTTAACTCTTTGTTGTTTCCACTAATATAACATGTAATTTCTATCTTTAGTTTATTCCTATTATTCTTGCTGTTGTTTTTCAGTAATATTTTCATATTCAGTAGTCAACAAACTATATTTCTCTTCTTAAAACAAACTTTCTTCCTAAACCTCTAATTACCCGCTTCCAAACTTGTTATAGCACTTAATTCTCTATTTCCATTCTACCAAACAATTGACCAACACATATTTACACCTTTCATTTCTTTTCATGGATTCTTTTCCAAAGTTCACTTAAAATTCCTATATTACCGCCATATTTTTCCCACTGCAAGGGGCCACTAACAAGTATGATAGCACAGGTCGAAGTCTGAGAGCGGTCACTTCATGTAAGAAAATGTCAAGCGTAAAACAGTGGGCTTGACCTAAAAATTGAAACAATTTTTGACTGAAAGTGATTGATTTGAGGCTTTTCAGCATTGCTCTATACCTTTATGTAGAAAAAGATGAAAGGGATGGTAGGATCTACCGTATGGACGCCAAAACAGTTGTGGAATGGGTGGGCGAATTTCAAAAATTTCCTACCTTCCTTCCAACTGGGAATCGCATTCCCTGATTTTAGAATCATATTCAAGGATCCTACTTGAACCAAACCAGATCAAATTTGATCCAAAAGAGAAGGGAGCGATTATACCTGATCCAGAGAAATAATATCTCCCAAAGTTGGTGTTCACGCCCAAAGAAGACACCAAGATCTACTCCTGCTGAAGATGACACAACAACTGTGGAACAAAACCAGCAGAATACGTCCTACACATCGAATCCTTCACAAGAATCCTCTGGAAACAATGAGCACCGAATTGAATCATCCTTTCAGCAAAGACTGATATCAAGAACTCTTTCTTGATCTTTCCCTCACAGAGAAATCGAACTGGTGGTGGTTGGCGGCGGCTGATGGAGAAGAAAACTAGAGAAGAAAGTGGCGAACTGCTTTTCTCCTCTAGGGTTTCTGAGATCTAATATTCAGAATGCAAATGTGTTCTCTGCAAATTCCCATGGGTTCAAATTCTTGTAATTCCAATTAGGGTTTCCTCCGGTTGCTTAATGATTAAGAAAACCTCCTAATCATATCAGGAGTTGCCCTTATCCAAATCCGTATTTGGATTAGGACTCTTCTTAATCTTATCTGCAGATTAGATAAGCTTTTGGGCTCATCCTAACCTCAGATCCGCCCCCTTTTTGTGACTGATCAAATCAGCCCAGTTCGAAATAGGCTTTAGGCCCATTAAGTAATAAGTGCTCAATAGTCTTCCAAATTGCTGCCCAATTGGGCTTCTTTGTATGGCGTGGGACCCAAGCATTGATCTACACATCAGCCA